GAAAACCGGCGGGTCTGAGACAAGCGCTAATAACGCGACCGCTTCCCGTGAACGGGAAGAGGGAGGCGGGAAGGACGGCGAAACCCCATCTCTCTCCCTTCACCAGCGAACCCAGCACAGTTACAGGCAGAAAAAAAAAAGTTACAGGCAGGGTAAAATTAAAGCTTTTCATTTATCGGCCCGGCTCCCAGCTTTCGCTTCAGCAGGGGGAAAAAAACACTTCCAGAGCCCGAGGTGCAAGAACCAGCTTAATTGTCAGATTCCAGGCACGGAGCCCAGGGCAGGAGGGGGAACTCCACGGTGGCATTTGCTATTCAAGTCCCCCTGCCTAAGTCACCCCATCCGAGTCCCGACGGAGGCGGAAAGAGGCGACCGGGCCATCCCCCGGGCGCGCCCCCCGTGCTGCCCCGGCCTGCCGGGGGAGCGGGGCTGGGGGTGCCAAAGCCGAAACAACACCGGAGAGGTTTTATTCCGGGCTTTGCATAAATTGTCCTGAAGTAAAGGGAAGGCACTTCGGTGCTGTCTGGCTGCTGCATTCGCGTGCTGTGCCCTGGCACCAGCCTGCCCGGCTTCATCCGCGCTCTCCAGCCGGTCTGAGCCGGGAGGGAAGGGGCCCGACGACCTCCTAAATGCCCGGCGGGAGGAGCTGGGATCCGACAGCGGTGGGCAGGAGCCCCGAAGGCCCGGTACCTGCCCCGCCGCCGGGGAGCGGAGCTGTCGAGGAGCTCCCATCCGGCTCGCAGCGCAGCCGACCCAAGCACCGGGCAGAGGGGAGGCCCCTCGCCAAGGCCGGCTTCACGTCAAGGTCAAAACTCTTTTTTTGACGGCCAGAAAAGGCGAGACTCTTTAGGGCTTGAAAGGATCGGGGGGTAAGAAAAGAATAAAAATTAAAAAAAAAAAAAAAAAAAAAAAAAGGAAAAAGAAAAAAAAGTAGCAAGGAAAGGAGAATGTTTTTAGATGGAGCACCTGGACAGCTCCAAAATCTTTTTCCTCTGCAGAATTCCGGAGAGGTGAAAGCAAAACCTGCCCTGGTCCCACTCGCCCCCCGCAGCCCTCAGGCGCCTTCGGCGACCGCCGGTGGGACCCCGCCACGGCAGACACGCACATCAGCACAGAGATCCCGCCGGCAGGATTTATTCAACCCGGGCTCGCCGGTTTGCAGCATCCCTTCCCAAGCGTTTGAAAGGAATAACTGACCAAAAGACTCTGGGGAACCCTTGGGGACCCGCAGAGGCCCCGGGGTCCCAGCGGCTCCCGCCGCCACGATGAGAACAGGGAGATTGGCACAACTTCTCGCAAGGAAACCCTAATAGGCTATTTCTGGACTACTGGCTCTTAACAAATCTATAGCACCTGAAGTGTTAGCACTCAATTAGTGACAAGGTTTCAAACTCCGGCGTTTACTGGAGAGGTATAAACAGAGTCCTCGGGAGATAGCCGGGAATTAGAGCGGGAGGGGGCCCTGGACATCTTAACCGACTGGGATTAAGAGGAAAAGTTTTTTAAAAGGTCCCATCTCTCTCTAAACAGTCCGAGGTGTCGAAAGCTTAGGGGTAGAGAGGATGTGCTCTCTGGAGTTAATTGCGGGATTGGAATTTTTTTGGTTTTGTTTGTTTGTTTTCAGCAAGAAAAGTTTTAAATTTTTGTGGTATCTTTTTTTTTTTTTTTTTTTTTTTTTAGGAAAAAAGAAAACGCACAAAAAAACACAACAAACCCAACACGAATCGCACTTAACAATCCCGGAGAGAAGCCGCGAGCGGGTTTGGACGACAACCCTCGCCTGCGAGGGGCTTTTCTGGGCATGGGGGGCCAGGGCAGGCTCAGTCCTGAGGGGGCAGCGAGAGCAACCTGCAAACAACGTGAAGGCGACCGGGGGAGAACAGAACACCCCCGCTTTTCCCTGCCAGCCAGAAAAACAACAACGTCTTTGCTCGGCCCGTCTCCCCTCCATACACCCACAAGGCCTGGGTCCCGGCTGGAGGAGTGGGCTAGAGAAGGTGTTTCAGGGCTCTGCTCCGGGGTCCTGCCTCCCTTTACTCTTTTTTGAGTGTTAATTAAACGCAGCCAAAAGCGACCCCGCAGAAAGTAAAAGCGGTGCGGGAGAGCTCGAGGTGCGGGGGATCCCTCCCCTCCACCCCTGCCCCGCGACTCAGCCGGGGCACCCGGGAAGGTCCCCCCGGGCCGGGCAGGGACCGAGCGCGGCGCCTGAGGGCTGCGAGCAGAGTCCAGAGCGGGGTGAACCGGTCGCCTTTGTCCACTCCGCTGGACAGTCGGAGCTTGGCTTCAGCGGGCTGCTGGAGAGCACCGGGAAAGGGAGAAAGAGGGGGTGGGAAAGGGGGGAGGAATGGGTGCGGAGCCCCGACCCGGAAAGTCCGTGAGCTGCTGTATGTCAGTAACTTATTCATCAATCAGCCGGACACAGAGCAGACCTGGCCTCTCTTTGCGGAGTGTTTGCTTTTTCACCAATTATTGCGGCCCTGCAGCTCTTTTTGTTGATACAGTAGTTCTAAAAAGTGCTAATGTTCATTTATCAGGGGGCCGAACCCGGGACTCCCACTAGTTGTGATTCTTCCAAAAATATAAACACGAAGAGAAGGGCTAAGGCTAAAGCCCCCATTTGTTTCTAAACCGCAGTATTAAAAGTGATGCATTGTTGAAGATAAAGCGGAGATAACGCTGTCTGTCTCCAATGAATGTCTCCCCGACGCATTAATGACATTCCAAATGATAGCTCCGGCTTATCGTTCAATTAATCACTTCCACCCTCTGCAGCCGGGCCCACATCGATCGGGAGCCGCCGTGTGACTGGGGGGCTGGAGGGAGCCCGTCAACCCTCAGTGAATCGCGGACTGTCGGCCGGCAGTGCCCGCCCCGCCGGGACGAGCCCCGGGCCCGCAGGGGGACAAGTCGGACAGAGGGAAACCGCCGGGACGGGCACTGCCGTGCGAGAGCTCCCGGCCTGACTTGGGAAGGGCGTTTTGGGTCCGGGATTGAGGAAGGGAGCGCTGGACGCCGTTTCTACCGGGAGGTGGATGTCACCAAGGCGGACGAACCTGCGGCCGCAGCTCTGGGTTTGGGAGGGATCGGGATCACTTCGCTATTTTAGTATTTATCTAACTTACCCCCATTAGCTTGCATTAAAAAGGAGGCAACGAGATTAGAAAACCCACCGGGCAATGCGGAGGGCAAGGGGTGCCCCAGACAGCCGGCAAAGTCCCGCCGCAGGCCCCTCTCCTGAGCCGGGCTGCTGAGGCTGCCTCTACCTTCCCCAGGCGCTTCACCCCTTTTCCTACAACCGAGGAACATCCCCTCCGAGTTGCGTCCCAGGGAATTCTGCAGGAAGCGCAGCCGCGAAGAGCGAGATGGCCGCTTAGCCACCTCCTCCCATAATTTAATGGCAATATTTCAGGCCTCCCCATTCACAGTGATCGCACCGACTGTCATCGCAAGATCTGGATCTGGTTCGCCAAAAAACTGCTCCCAGGACACCCGCAGGCGTCTGCAGCGAGGGGCTGCGAGCGCCGGGGTTGCTGCTGCTGCTCCGGCCAGCGATCCCCAGAGAGCAGGACGGGTCACAGCATTGCCCCCAAAAACATCCTGAATTAAATCCCCCAAAAGCGAGCCCGAAGGTACCGAGAGACAAAAATCTCGGGGGTCAGCTGCGGGGGGCACACTGGCAGGTCCGTTCAGGAGCAGCCCAGGCAGGGCAGCTTCGGGCAGGTGCTCACATTTTCACCCGCCTCGGAGGGTCCCTTCCTGCGGGCGGAGGAAGGATTTGCACAACTGCGACTCCGCCGCCTCCCAGGGCAGGGCCCGGCCGAGGGACCCCCAAACTCATCGCATCCCTCCAGGGTTTCTCCGCTCGGCTCCCACCGCCCGGGCCGAGCCCATCCCGTGTCTCTCTCAGTCGGGCGCTGGAGCGCTAAAGGAGATCCTTTAAAATTTATTTTCTTTCTCGACTCCCGAGCCCAGAAAGCGCCGTAAGGCCCCCTCTCAACCTTCGGCTTTGCCGCTAGGGTTTATTTCAGCCACTCCATGCAAGTTAAACGAGTGAGAGCACCCACCTCAGCCCCGTGAACTCGGGCCCCGTGGGCAGCCGTGCCCACTGAGCTGCGGGGACCTGGCTAGCACCAGGGCCAGCCCTGCCTCCTGACGGCAGCCCAGCGGCCGGTTGCTTTGGCTTACTCAGCTCTTACCCCTCTGTATTTTGCAACACCTTCAACCCCCGCTTGTTTTGGCTTATTTTTCTTTTTTTTTTTTTTTTTTTTTTTTCCCAGACAGTGGTAGTTTGTTTGGGGTTTTGGGGTTTGCTTGCTTGTTTGTTTGTTTGAAAGCTTTACAAACAGACGGGAGGAAAACCTAATCGGCATTTCCCTCTCCCAAGCCAGGCAAGGGCTGTTCAGGACCTCTCTCCTATCAGCTAGATTTTGCGAGCGTTGCGTTGCTTCAGAATATCTGTATAAACCCTAAGCGCGGATTTCCCCTTGAGCGCGCTTCACACAGCAGTGAACTCCCGCTCTCTAGTTCCTGCGATCGGATATTGCAGAACACTAAAAACGAAACCTCCGTTCCATCACTTAGAAAAAAATATTAAATCAGCACATATTTGGTTGATGGCTTCCTCCCGGCCTGTTTATTTAATCTGACTGTATGATAGATAGCGTCAGATAGTGCCTTTGTACACATTAGGCCGTTCCGCTTTTTTTTTTTTTTTTAATGGATGAAAAAACTCAGCGCAGAAAAGCTGGATAAATGCAGTGCCGCCCCTTTAAATGAGCGGAGATGTTTTTGAGATGTATTACTATATTAGGTGACATGGAACTTTGCATCTCTCATACCATCACTGCAATGTTGGCCAATAGAAAGCTAAAGTCACCCAAAAACTGCCTAGTCCCTCCTTCCCTTCCCTTATGGTCTGGTCCTACCTGCCTCCAGTGCACAAGTCAAGGCTACTCGCAGGAATGCTATGTGCCCCCTCCGTGAGCCCACGCTCCACCACTGCTCCAGGTTGGCTGCTCCTCAACTACTTTTCCATGACCCTGGGCTCCGGCTGCTGCCCCGCTCTCCTCCGCAATGTTTCCTAGCCCTGTGACAACGACACCCTTCTCGGTCAAGGATATTTTGAACCTGGAACAGCATCAGAGCGGCCTGGCCTCCATGGAGCTCTCCTCGCTGGCCTCGCCCTCCTGCATGCTGGCCACCTTCAAGCAGGAGACCTACAGCGCTGAGCCGCCGGCCCTGCCCGACCTGCGGGAGGAGCTGCCTGAGCCGCCCCCCGCCAAAACAGCCGCCGCCTTCCCCGGCTCCTACTACGTGAAAAACTACGTGGAGATGGACTCGGCCAAGGAGGGAAAGGCGGACAAGAAAGGTAAAGCCAAGTGCTGCTGTCCGGGGCTCGCCGGTGGTCCTTGGGAGGAGAAAAAGGGAACGGTGACCCCCCCAGCCGGGGTCGGGCGCTCGGCCAGGTGTCCCCAGGGCTGCGGGGGAAGAGGGGACAGCGCAGGGCTGCTACCACCCTCAGGGGCCGGGGGAGAAAGAGCGCGGAGAGCGGGAGCATCTTCATCCCCTCCCGGGCGCTGCAGTGCAGGAGCGGGACAGACCCACTGCGGGGAGCGTCGGGGTGACCCCGGGCCGGAGACCTCCCCCGAGCGGGGCCGAGGCCGAGCTCCCACCCAACAGGACGGGTAGAGCTGCAGGAGGATACGCGAGGTCTCGAGTTTGTACAGAAATTAGGTGACAAATCGGATTTCTAATTCGTTCGGCTGAACCGAACTCGTACTGGAGCCCGTGGGTCGGGCTGGGATTCGGTACAAAGCCAGCACAATAAATACAAAGGCTACGTGATAAATCCAGGCTGGGGTACAGGCGGTCGCTACTCAAGTCAGTGCACTGAGCATTCTTGTTTCCAAACAAACAAAAAAGACGGAAATTTTGCTGAAGAGGTACTTAAAAAGCGGGGCAGGGCCGGTCCCGCTACTGCAAGAGCGGGTCACCGCGGCGGCCTGCGGGGCTGAGGCACACGGAGCCGGGAAAGGGCCGGGGAAAAGCCAGGGCTCGCTCACGTTGCACGCTGTTTATTGAACACTGCTTTATATTTTTTTACACATTTTTTCCTCCCCCTTTTTCCTTCTCCCGTTTATTTTGCTGCAGAGCTGTGTTCCCTGCACAAGAGCCTGGAGCAGGAGAAAAGAGACCTGGAAGATCCCGAGCGCCCCAGACAGAGGAAAAGGAGGAAACCTCGCGTCCTCTTTTCTCAAGCCCAAGTCTACGAACTGGAAAGAAGGTTCAAGCAGCAGAAATACCTCTCGGCCCCCGAGAGAGACCATTTAGCGAACGTCCTAAAGCTCACCTCCACCCAAGTGAAAATCTGGTTCCAAAACCGAAGGTATAAATGCAAAAGGCAGAGACAGGATCAGACCCTGGAAATGGTGGGGATCCCTCCCCCCCGGCGGATAGCAGTGCCGGTGCTGGTGCGAGATGGGAAGCCCTGCCTGGGGGAATCTTCTCCCTACAGTTCGCCCTATAATGTCAGCATTAACCCCTACAGCTACAACGCCTACCCTGCGTACACCAACTACAACAGCCCCGCCTGCAACGCCAACTACAACTGCAACTACCCCTCCATGCAGCCCATGCAGCCCTCGGCGGCCGGCAACAACTTCATGAACTTCAGCGTAGGGGACTTGAATTCGGTGCAGACGCCGATCCCTCAGGGGAACGCGGGGATCTCCACACTGCACGGGATCCGAGCCTGGTAGAGCCGCCCCCGCACCCGGCCCGCTCCCTCCATGGGCCACGGCCATAGGGATGGAGGGGCTCCGGCCGCGCCTGCGAGCCGGGCTCGGGACATTTCCAGGCTGCGGGATGAGGACGGTTCAGTGTAGCATCCCGGCGGAGTTCACTGGAGTGGTGGCCATTTACGGGGGGGCCTTTGGTATTTCGTGCGGTGGCCGCGCTCCGTGCGGGGCCAGGCGGGCACCGGTGGGGAGGAGCGGCAGTGCCCGCAGCTCCCGGCCCCTCTCGCTCCCCGTTCCACCTGGGTCTTCACCCTGGTAATTCCCCTCCTTCCTTCCTACAAACCAGCCGGTCATTTTGCTGGACTTGTTCCCAACGACAGCTAGCCAAGCCCAGCAACTCTCTCTCTTCTTCTTTTTTTTTTTTTTTTTAAACTTTTACTCTATACTAATTATTATTGACATCCACATTTAATTTTTGCACTTCCCGTACGGTTCCCGCTGCTCGTCCAGTTCAGCATCTCTCCGCCCCCAGGTCTCCCTTTGCGAGGCTGCTACCGCCGGCCTGGGCTGCGGGCCGGGAGCGGGGCCGGGAGCGGCTCCCGCCCGCACACGATGGGGACAGACCCCCCTCACCCCACCCCGGCCGAGGGACACGGACACTGCGGCCCGCCAGGTCTCGTAGGGTTATGCACTAAAACGTGAGTTAGTATGGAAATGCACTGTCCGCCCCTTCCTACGTGTCACCCTTTGCTGTACAAGCTGACGGAGGTCAGCGAGTTGTCATTAAAGAGAGTGGCTGAACCTTGGCGTCCCTGGCGTTCCTTGCGCGGCCTGGAAACGGCGCTTGTATTATAAAGTTTTTCAAAAATAATTTTAAAGCCACTTTTCGAGCTCACGGCCCAGGCAGGATTGCTCTGCACCGGCCGCGTCCCGTCCCCCACGCCGGGCTGGGATCGAGACGGGTCCCGTTCCCTCCCATTGGTGACCCTTTCGCTCCCAGACTCCGGTGCCGAGCGGCTGATTTCTCCCCTGCACAGACAATCAATGCCAGGGAGGTACCGATACTCCGAAATTATAAACCAGAGGGAACTGCCCCCAGCACATCCGCAGGAGGTTTCCGCAGCCCCTCCACATCCCGTCCCCGAACAGGGAGAGGGGCAAAGAACCCCCGCCTGCCCCCAGACTGCCCAGAGGCAGCGAATGGGACTCCCCACAGCCTGGCTCCTGTCTCTGCTCTCCCTCAGCCGCAGCCTTTCGGCCGCTTTTACAGTAGTCGCTATCAAATGTCAATTATTGGGAGTGAGAAACAACAAACATTGTAATTCAGCGCAGTCACAACATCCTCTGAGTGTCTGAGACTGTCCGGCCCGGTGACAAGGCGATTAGGACAACCTGCAACCCCTCCTGCCTTGGCGATATCGGCCCCATCAGTAAACAGGGATGGAGACAGGGTGGCTGTGGCCCTGGGACATGGGATGAAAGGCTGCCGGTGAATGGAAGCTGCCTGAAGCCTCTATCCCTCCCTCCCAAGGGGACCAACCTCACACACACCCCGAGGTAGGATTGCACAGATAAGGAGCTCCCACCTCCTTCCTATCTCTGCAAATGGACGAGGAGCCCTGAGTGCTGCTCACAAAGCCCCCAGTGCATCATGGAGTGTAGACACCTGTCTGGGGCTCAGGCCTGGGCAAAGGGGGGCCTTCTACCTCTTCCCAAGGAAGGTCTGCTTCGGGGGTACTCACCCCAGAGAGCCACAGGGACATGGGGTCTGTCACAACAAAGGGGACCAGAGTCTGCCAGCCTGAAGCAGGGATACAGGGCAGCCCCACAGCTGTGCAATCCAGGAAGAAGCAAAGGCTACTCCTCATTTGAAACCTCTCCAAGCTGGCTGCATGATGACTTCTGTCATCTTCCCGCATTGGAAGGACACACAGACTTCAGCAGATGGTAGAAAGGCAGAGGTTAGACAGAAAATACATGGAAGGGGGCAGGAGAAAGCTGGATTTAAACTCTGCCACTGTTGAATGATGTGGAGGGAGTGACAGTTTGGTGCCTCAGTTTGCCTGATCTGTAAAATGGGAACAATGCTGCCCTCCCACTCCATGCCTCCCGTGTCACTGACAGTTGAATTCTGCCACTGCAGAGCTTGGCCGAGATCAGACCACACAGGGAACCCTCAGAAGGCAGGACAAGTCCTGAGTTAACACGGCAGAAGGCATTAAACTGGAACCACTACATTCAGAAGCTGGCCCTGAGTAGGGCCCTTCATTAAGTGTTCAACCAAGATAGACTGCAGTGAAGCTTCAGGAAAAGCTACAGGAAAAAGTAACTCCTCATATCAGCGCAGCACCCTTCTCCACATACTCCCAGCATCCTTTCCCTTCCTCAGACCCCTCATTTTCTTCGAGCCTTTTTATTTTCCTCCCGTGGTATCTCAGAGCTACAGCTATCAGGGAATCCGGGTGTCCAGTGGGACTTTTCCTGCTCTGCAGGGGCTGATCTGGGCACCAGGTTTGGGACCGATTTTCAGGACTGCCCTGTGCTCGTTCTCAGTGGGGATGAACGTACAGCCTCTGCCCACACTGCTGCTCACACGCTCCCCCCCCATGCTTCCCTACTCCCGGGGGAATTGCATCACGAGCAGATGCACGGCAGGATAAGACATGAGGGCTTGGAACAGCAGCTGGAGCCTTGGAGCCAGTTCAGAAAGCGATTTAGGGAGAGGACACAAGCACAGCTGGCTGAGGCGGAGGCAGCCCAGCTCTGGCAGGGGCACCAGCAGCGATGGTTAAAGACCTTCCATAGCTGAATTAACGGGAAGTGCAAGAGAGATACAGTAGGAATTAACTCCCAGCACACTGATTTTGGCCAAGGGGGGCTCACTGTCCTCACAGAAACACATTGCTACTATTCCTGCTCTCCAGGTCTGCCTCACCTGTAGCTGCAGCTCAGCAGCAAGAACAGCCAACAGGGTCAGGTGGGAGTACAGGGTCTGCCCAGGATTTCCAAAGGCACCAGGGCTGTTGGCAAACACCACAGCACGGTGATGTGCTCCCCTGAGTCCAGTCCTCTCAACGGCTTAGAAAAACTGAATGCATCAGACCTGACACGTTCCTCTGTCTGAGCCTGAAGCGATTCACATCTCTAGAGCAACATGAAAAGGCTGTGCTTGGAAAAGGTTATTCCTGAGGAAACTGTAGGATACTGGTTTTTCCCCAGGGAACCTGAAATCAGAGATCCTCTCAGTGTTTGGGGGCATGTTAAGGGGTGTAGAAAAGAGCTTTTAATAAAAATTTGCACTTGGATTTGATCTCACTCTTTCCTCAGATTTTTTGGGGATTACACAGCCTGGCACTGGCATTCATTTCTCTGTTTCAGCACAGCTTTTTTCAGAGAATTCAGTGCCCCAGCTCCACCTGAAGGTAACAGGGCAAGTGCAGCTCAGCACCACTTGTCTTCTCGAGACAAACTGCATATGGTAGGTTTGTACAAACTATTTGGAATTTACACAATTTGTACAGGAACAAGTTGTCAGCTGTAAGGGACTGATATCAAATCCCTTGCCATTACCAGTTTTGTAGGAACTGAAGTAATTGTTTTTCCCAAATAACACCCATGCAGTTCCTAAAGTGCTTTTGTGGCCAGAATTTTATTCCTTCAGTTCAAGGAGTTTTCACATCCAAAGTTATTCTCTGGAGTCAGAAAAGGAGGAGATATGGTCCAGGTGGGAATTAGTGAAAAGTTTCAGTGTTCCTGAGAAGCCCAGCAGGAAAACAACAGATCAACAAGGCTCTCTCTCTAGTCCCCTGCTCCTAATTCATCTCACTGACATCAGTTTAGATCAGTATCAGCAGTAAGTGATTTCTTGTTAATGGGGATTATTAAGAAGAATCAACACCTTTAAAATGGCACTCCACATTGTCTCCAAAGCAAGAAAGGGATAGGCTTTCAGAGTGGAGTCCAATTTTTCATTCCTAGGTGGTTCCTTATTGCCTCCAAAGCAAACTTAATACTACATTTTGATGCAGAAAGAGAGGGAAGTGGAGATTTCTCCCAAGCAGAAGATCAAGCACTGGCAGTACATTTGTGAAAGTTCATCAGTCAAGGTTTATGAAAGTTAATCAATCAAGGTTTAGCAAAGTGACATGGAATATGTTACTTGAAAATCTCTACCTGCCTCCTACAGTCATTTGAAACTCTGCCACTCCAGAGTTTCATTCAATAAGAAAGCCCCACTAAGCAAAAAGATCATCCTGAGCAGTGCATTAGCCACAGGTCTTTCCTATTGTAGTACAGCAGGGACTTGCCCCAGACTGGTGCTAGAACTGCTGGGCTGAGATGAGTAAAAATAGGTGATTTTATCTGCCTTTGCATAAACGAGTTCAAATCAGATACAAGGCATGTCAGTGGAGTCTGGATGACTAGGCTAAGACAGAAAATAAACTGTTTCCCAGAGACTGAGCAAGAGGAAAAACCAACAGAAGCCCAAGGAGAGAGATGAACCTTCAGAAAAACGAAGCAGGACATTTTTAAACCAGCTCTGCGTGCAAGCAGTTGGTGCAGGGACTCCACTGAGACATGTCTGTTAAGTCATCCCTGCTTAAAATAACAAATTTTGGTGTCAACAAACAATCACGGTCAAATGGCCAAACCACAGATCTGTAAATCAGGAGACTGGGGGCTTTTCCCAACTCCATTGGAGAGAGGCATCATATTTGCAAGAGACCCTCAAGTCCTGCCCAGCTGTGCAAGTGCAGGGGTTCCCCAACACAGCTTTCAGACATCACTCGATACCTGCTCAGTTTGATGTGCTGCAAAAATAAGTTGTCCAAGAGAAAAACTTGTAAGTGGGAAGAATCTTAGGGGCCAAAATAATTTTATTTCTTGGGGTTGGTTAAAATTAACTGGTCTTGGGGAGACATCCTGGAGCTAAATTACTGTTTGTGGAGATGGGTAGGCTGAAGGCATGAATGACACTACTGTACAGTGGGCAAGGTCAGGAGTTAACAGGCTCAAACAGCAAAAGAAA